ATTTTATTTCCTTCGATATTTTCATTATTTTGTAATAATGTAATTGGATAAGGTTTTTAGAACTATTATGTTATGAATAAATTATGAAAGTTTAAAAGTTGTTTTTGAAAAGCACGTTTCTATACTATGATAAATTTTGAATTTTTTTTATTTTGTAATAATCGTGACACCTTGAAAATTGGGTGTTATAATTATCATAAGCGATAATTGATTATCATTACTTTCATAAATTTATGGATTTTATCCTGATGAATAAATAATCGATTATTAGTTACAATAATCGATTATCATGCAAAGTTAAATACAAAAAAATTAAATTTTTACTATTTAGGTCAGCTTATAATAACTAGGTACTTCACAAATTCATATTAGTTGTATGGTGGAGTTGATTTTTCTTTTTTAAATGATTTTTCCTTCTTTAATATTTAGAATCACTCTTAGAGGAAATCTTAGATTTATAGGAAGTACTTAGAAAAGTTTATTTTTATAAAAAAGGGAGAATATTATGTGTAGGGAGAGTTCTCTTTGGTAGAAACAGTAGTATATTTTATTTTCTTAAGGAAAGATATATTTATGTTAATAGCTTGTGATAATTTGTTTCTCTTTAAAGGGGAGATATATGATTATTTAAAAAAGAAATAAAAGTTATTTATCTCTCATGAATTAACTACTCTTTTTTCTTAAGTTGTTGTTGATTAAGAACATGGCATATCACAATTCTTCAACAATTTTTTTATCATAAAAAAAAGGATAAATTGTTGATAAAAGAATGAGATGAATATATTACTTCAATAAAAAGTTTAGATGATAATGACTTAGGGAGAAGTGTGGAAGACTTTATGATGTTCATGGAGAAGTGTTGAACACTTAAAGAAAGCTTGGATTCAAGAGTTACATTAAATACTTGTAAAGTTTAGTTGTTGAAAATATGTAATCTATGTATCCTAATTAAGATAGTGAAAATAAAATGTCATGAGTCTCTAGAGTCAAAAGCAGCATTAAACCACTTGAGAAAAATATTTTAAAAAAACAATGTGATAATCGATTATCACTTATGATAATTGATGTAGAGAGAAACTTTTACGAATTAGCTTTTGACAATAATTGATTATTGCTTACAATAATGATTATTTGCGAAAGTTGTAACTTTATTCTTCATCTTCTTAACCAAATTTAAAAACTGAAGACTATAAATAAAGTGGTAGGCTTTCATTTGAAAACACAGGAGTTGTGTTATAAGTCTTTGTGGAAAAGATTTGAAAACCTAGTGTGGGTAAAGCGATAACTTTCATCAAGTGTGATATTGAGTGATTAAGTATTGTTGATGTTGTTAGGTGAAATTGTTCATCCTTTGTATGATTCAAAGGAAATGTTCAATCCTTATGGATTTTAAGAAATGTATTATTTATCTCTTTCGTGACTTAAGAGAGGTGTTTTCTTCCTTTGTGGAACTCAAATGAGATGTTCATCCTTGTATTTTTTCAAATATGTCTTTCATCTCTTGTAATTTGAAGATAAGTGCTTTCTATCCTACACTGTCTTAATTATTATTAGTTTTAATACATCATTTGGTCCCTAGTTTTGGGACTTTTGTTCAAAGTCATCCTACATTTTAAAAAAGTTCGGTTAGGCCCCCTATTTCGTTAAAAATGTCCAAAATTGTCCTTTTGGCTTACGACGTTAAAAACATAACGGTGCAGTTGCCTCCGTGGCCAAAACTGAATGACGTGTAAAGTTTTGCAATATGTGACACATATGATATATTTGAATGTGTAAATTAAAAAAATATATAATGACGTCAGCTAGGTTTAACGAAATGGGTTAAATCAAATTATCCTTATCTAAGGATCCTATCACGATTTATGGGTTTAACAATCTGGTGAAACTGGTCTTGTAATCATTGAGGCGTGGTGATTCCTTGAAGGTAAAATTTGAAGAGCGTACGTACGTGAAGTAAGTATTGCTAACCCTAGCCTACTTACTTGATGTTCTTGTTGTTGGATTTAGGGGTTAGGGTTTGAGGTGAAAATAGAGGGTGAAAAGTAATGGTGGAAAGGAAGTGGATGGTGGAGTGGAGGTGGACAGAGATGGTGGACTGGAGGTAGAAAGTAATGGTGGAGAGGAGGTGGATGATGGAGTGGAGGTAGACAAAGATGGTGGGCTGGAGGTGGAAACTAATGATGGAAACTAAGCCAGATATCTTTCATGTGTTTTTCGTTGATATACATTTGGAACCAAAGTACACAGTTTTAAATTGAAAAGGGGACTACATTGCACATTTTTTGACCAAAGGGGAAACTAAATTTAACATTATATATAAACACCTGAACGTAAACATTGAGCTTCACCTTTACATTGTTTCTACGTTTCTGGCTTGTGCAATTTGCAAGTTGGTGCCCATGGATGTTGCTTGCGAACTAGGGTTTCTGCGATTTGGGTATGTTTATGTTTTGCTACAGGTGTGAATTGGGTTTCTAGGTGTCGCGATTGCATATTTCTTGTTCATATTTGGGTTGGAATTTCTGGTTTGCAGGTTAGGGATTTCGATTCGGTTCTTGCTTAATGGTGGTGAGGCGCAACACATGGTGGAGATTTTACCTTGATTATTGGCAACGCGGTTTAGGATTTCATGATGGCTAGGGTTTGATTTCTAGGTTTTCTATTGCTTTTCTCTGCTTCGAATTGTAGGTCTGTGTTGATGGTGGTGACAGCAGCATGGTGGTCTGAGGGTTTGGTGGTAGCGTGTTTCGTTCTACGGCAACAGCGACGGTTAGGGTTTCACGGTGGTGGCACAAGGGTTTCTGGTCTTAAGGAAATTAGGGTTTCACGGTGTCCTCCTATCCTTTTACATTAACATTACCACATCAATGGGTCACACTTGCCACCTCATAAAAAATTGGACAGATCATAGTTGTCACATCATTTCACCGTTATGTTTTTAACGCCGTAAGCCAAAAGGACCAACTTGAACCATTTTTAACGAAATATGGGACAATAGTGAACTGTTTTAAAAGGTAGGACGACTTTGAATATAACGTCCCAAACTAGAAACCAAATGATGTATTAAATCTTATTATTATAATTTTTAATTTATTTTTAATGTTTAATTTATCTTTATTTTAACACTGATTAGACATAAAATCTTTTGATCTGAACTAATATAAAATAACTTTGTATAATTTCTCTTTTCCTATTCTTCTTATTTTATTGTGATTATTAAAATAAATAAAAGCCTTTTTTTAATTACACTATGATTTTTTTAGGATAATTTTTAAATTATTTTTTCTTAAAAAAAATCAATTCACCTCCATAGGTTTATTAATTTTTGTACAAACAAAAATATTCTACTACAATGATCTTAACAAGTCCAAATTTTCCTCATACTAAACAACCTATTGAAATGTGGTAAAAACACCAAAACAATTATTTATTTTTATATTCATTTTAAACTGCTCTTTTTATATAAAAATTTGATGAACATTAATTATATATATATATATATATATGTATATATATTTAAAATATAATTTGTTTAAAAAAATCACTTCACCTTCCTTTTGATTTATTAGTTTTTGTCCAAATATAAATATTCTACTAAAACGATCTTAACAAACTAATCAAAATTTGAAATGGGATAGCAATTAAAAAAACTATTTATTTTTATATTCATCTTTATATAAAAAAAATTGATGAACATTAATTAAATATATATAAATAAATATATATATATATATATATATATATATATATATATATATATATATATATATATATATATATATATACGGAAAAATTATTAGAAAATTATGAATAGCTGAAATTGTCATATTTATATTTTTTTAATATAATTTAAAATTTGAAACACTTTTCTTAAAAAGTTCTAACAAATCATAAGTTTTAAATTTTTACAATATTTTTAATGATTACATTTTGAATCTTTTACTTCAAAAATTTATTTCTTTTACATTTTATGATTCATTTTATTTTGATACTGTTTATCTATTTATTTTACTACTATTCATACTTTTTTATCTTTAATTTTAGAAACATATACTTGCACGATGTTTCTATATCATCTGTCTGAAATAAACTCTATTTCGAATCTTTATTTATAAAATATAAAACTTTGCATAGATTTTTATAACATTTTTATTTTCAAGTATTATTTGTCTCAAATAAATATTCAATCGCCAAAAAACTAATAATACTGATGGTACGGAATATATGAAAGATGAAATGCTTTAAAAGAAAATATGTCTCCTGTATTAAATATTTATGTTTGTTGAAAAACTCTACACATGTTTTCAATTTACTACATTAATTACAATGTTGCTTTATATTTTTTTTTTTGCCAATTTAATACTTAAAAAAAAATAAAACATTAGAGTTCATATTAAACATAAAAGAGTAAATTAATTACAAATTCCTTGCATTTAAAGCACAACAGTAAGGGTTTGTTCTTTGTTATCTCTCAACAATTTTGTTTACTTTGGTGGAAAGCTTACCTGTTTCTTTGTCACCAATCCGTTTTCTCATTAAACTGCAGACATGGAAGTGTTTGTTTAATATTTTCTGCTAACTTCATATGCTTGATGTTTCATGTTAGCATTGCTCAGTAACAGTATTCTACAAACTAGATGTTTAGACTTTTATACAATATTAATTTTTTAAAGTTTATGATATTTGACTAAATTATAAGATTTATAGATGATAAGATATTTTGAAAACATAATAATGTAACTTAGTTAAAATCATCTGCATAATTTTATACTATTTTAACATTCGACACAACTAAAATTTCACAACTCTATATGCTTTTGAAGATTTATATAGGATTTAACTTCATAAGCCACAGAATGTTGACACCTTTTCTTAGTGAAGCTCATTTATCCGAAGACAGCAACCCTCATTGTTAATAGAAATGCAGATGAATTGGTTGATTGAGTTCCCAATGAGATGGATTTCTTTCTAAGCCTGTGTATGAAATTGACTGCAGAAAATACCAAACACACTGTAATTCGATCATCTACAATGTTAAAAGGGAGCAATCTCCTTGAAGCTGAACAACTTTGTGGGGATGCTAATTTTTTCACAAATTGTTCAGCAAATGGGTCAAAATTAATCCTCCCACCCGCATGATTCACTAAGCAAATAGTATTTTCTTATAATACAGCTTCAAGTATAGACAAACTTAAAACAGATGTAGGTGCAGATATTCAATATAATGGTCCAATGGAGAACAGAATACTAGTGAAAATAAATCATACAAAACTTTTTTACTTGGAGTTGAATCGGAAGGTCTCCTCAGAAGCATACTTAGTCCTCATACTGTAATGGTCAAACTTTGGATTATTATGATCAACAGCCCTTGTTTCAACAGCTTTAGCCTCAGTTCCAACTGCCCCCATAACAAATTCTCCACTCTTTTCTCGTTGCCTATGTCTTGGCCTTTCTTTCTGGCTCTTAGATTTGGTATATGGAGGAATCTCAGTAGATCCATAGAACTCGGCATAATCGGGTCGTTTTGATGATCTGTGCTTGCTTGACAGAGAAGGGTCCTTGAAACTGCTTGATTTTATCTTGGGGGGCTTCATTTCTGAATATTTCTCTGCTGTGCTTGGAGTATGGACATTTGGTGCCAGTCGATTATCGATAAGAGAAGTATGAACATGTGATGCCATCCGACTATCACTAAGAGGAGTTTGGAGCTGTGATGGCAGCTGATTTTTGGTAAGAGGTGTATGCCCTTGAGCATTTTGCCGGTTGATCAACGGAGGCTGTGCTTCATCTTCAGGCATTACAAGACGATCTTTCAGCGGTGTTAAGCCTCTCTTGGAGATGCCTGGTCTGAAATGTGAAGGTATAAATTGAGTGAATGCACCAGCTAATGCTTCAAGGGAAAGCTTAGAAAGATCAACAATGAGCTGTCCGAAAGACGGCCATCCCGGCTCCTCTTTACTGCTCTCCAGGATTGGCATGTGTTTCTCATTGCTTGCTGGTCCTTTAAACTCTCTTTCTGACGGTCTCTGCAGCATTTGTGCAGTGTAATTAATTAGCCAATTAGCAAAGGTGAACATGAAATATTTTTAGAATGAACAGCATTTTCAAGCAAAAAGACAGAATTTAGGGTCTCCTTGATTTGAGAAAATATTTTCAATTTTTATTTCCCCTTTTTTCAAATAATTACAAAAATGCTAGTTTGATTTCATTTTATTTTCTATTTTAACGAGTTATACCAGAAGCAACAGAGACAACATGTTATTTGTTGTCTGAATTGTTTCCTGTACAAATATTTTTGGTACAAAGGAAAAGTCCTCCCTTTTGCAACTCACAAGGCATAACATGGTTCCAAAAGACAAAATGTTGGGCAGCTACAACAGGCAAAATGTCACAATTCTGAAACTTCTGTTTAACAAATTCTATTAAGAGAACATACTGTTTTTGAGAAGAAAGAGGATCCAAATCCCTGCTGAAGCATACATGTAGCATATCCTACTATAACAGCACCAACAACTGTAAGGATATCTGCAGGAAAACCCACAATACACTAAAATCAGAAGTTAAATGGAGATATAGAGTATCCAAAGGAATGCAATCAAGTCATCAGTTTTCAGATTTACAGATTTTCTCATTGCTTCACTTCCATGCTAAATACAGCTAATTCAGATTTTCCAGTAACACCAACACATTAAAGAACAATCTTCTGATAAACCATAAATCAGAACTGCCAAAAAATCTTGTCCGACTGGAATTTTCCGTTGCATTTATGGACCATAGCCAAGGGATTTAAGACCAGATCTGGACAAACACATCAGTTGGATGAACTAAAGCCACATGAAGTGACATCATTTCATGCGTCTGCCTCACAAATCTAGTTCATGAGGATAGGAGATGTTCCCTTAAATTTGAAAAAGGAATTGTACAAGACAAGGCTAACATTTCAAATCGAGATGCATCCAAAGTTGTTAGGTTCCTGGGTTTGGAACCTAACAAGAATTCAATCAACAGATGGAGACAAAAAGAAAGAATGGGTTTCCGGTATTATTCACAGTAAAAGAGACCTCTTTACAAGTTGGGAGCATAACTGATAACGGTTGAAAACCATTATTTTTATATTTAATTTTGACCTTAAAGACAAACTTTATGACTTAGAAACTAGCTTGTACTCATGCTTTTGCTTATGTTTTGGAAATAAGAGAGTTTGATGGGTTTTATGCTTGGTTTCTCTTGTTTTTGCAAGTTTTAAGATGAATTGAATGGAAGAAGTGAAGTAGCCATAAGTTGGAGTCAGAAAAGGAAGAAAAAGTGTATAAAAAAGAAGAGCTGCAAGTACCGCTCAGCGGAAATTACCGCTGAGCGGCACTTTGAAGTCCCGGCGCTGAGGGGCAAAACTGCAGTTGAGAGTCAAATAGAAGAAATGCACTTACCGCTGAGCGGTATTTTAATGGGCCTTGGGCCACTTTTTTGTAATCTTTAAGAGTCTATATAAGGTTTTAGTCGATCTAGGGTTAGTATCTTTTGGCAGAACAAAGCAAAATCACACTTTCTTCACCCCTTGGAGGAGGATTTTGGATGCTCAAGCTCCACTCTTCAAATTCTAAGGTTCTATCTTTCATTATTTCATTATTTTTCATCTAGTTTCACCATGATTATGGTGAACTAAACCTTCATTGTTGTTGGGGAGTCAATGTAATCCTTTGAAACTCTCATGTATTGAATTGGTTCTCTAATCCATATGTTTTCTTTCATTAATTGTTAGGGTTTTTCTTCTATACACTATGCATGCTTTGTTTAATTCATTCAATTGCATGATCATTGATTTTATTTGTATGGACACATATAGATAAATCTAGACATGAAGGAACTCTTCCAATAGTAATATTGCCTAAACATAGGGATAGGAGGACTGGTTGCCTTTAAGCTTCTGTGCGAATGTAATGCATGAATAATTGCTAGGGAGACAAGACATTGTAAACTAGTGATTAGGAGTAGGCTTTCTTCACCAAGACATTGGATTTAAGGTAAATTAGAAAGTGACATTAAAATTAATGAAGAAGATGAATTCTTGAATACATGAGAGTGGATAGGATGAATTGAAAACCCCCAACAACATCATCATCATATATTTCAATCACGTTTTGCTTCTTTTGTTCAATTGATCAATACAAGCATTCATATTTACTTTTTAGTATTTGCATTTAAATCTACAAAACTTTGTTCACAAGTCTAATTTAATCAATAAATCATATAACTGTTTAGGTCGTGAGTCCTTTGGGAAACGATATTTGGTCTTACCATTTATTATTACTTGATACGATTCGGTTACACTTGCCGAGGGTTAACAGTAACCTCCCTGGCTGAGGGCATAACCCCTCTCTACAAGCTAAAACGCCTGACTTTACACAAAGTACATTCGATACCCCCTACAAAGTTACAGGAGCTCTATTTATAGGAGCTCTGACCCGCTCCCCCCTTTACAACCGACACCCCATACCCTTAACTTCTAAACCCATCTATTCTATCATCCTATATCCTAACATTACACCCTGCTGCAAAACAACCTTATCCTCAAGGTTGGAACCGTAAAATTTGGTCTCTTGGCTCCTCTTCATCATCTTGTTATCATCTGAAGAGAATCCACTGGCTACTGCCACCAATTCAGGTCGGGAGGCTTAGGTAGTGGCAATTCCTCCTCCACTATCTTCCATTCTTCCTCTTTCCTTCCTATCAGCCCAAATCCCACACCAAGGTCCACGGTTCTACTTCCTTTATTTTTAACAAAGCTTCTGGCTCCCCCCACCTTCTAGCTAGTGTTGGATCCCCCTTGCTAAATACCTTCTTCCCTCCTTGATTGAACACCCTAGTCAATATCGTTCGGTTCCGTCCTATATTGGTCAACACCGTTCGGTTTCGTCCTATAATGGGCAATACCGTTCGATTTCGTCCTATAATGGGCAACATCGTTCGGTTTCGTCCTCTAATGGTCAAAACAATACCCGTTCGGCCCCCTACCAAACCGTTCAGCTTCATTTTTGACTGAGTGAGGCCTTCAACCGAGAAAGCGGACATCTCCATCTGCTTCTGGTCTATTGCGGTCTCAGCTTCCTCAGTCTCCACCTCTTCATCCTCCCCCAAAATAAACGACCCTCGACTCTTTTCTAGCCACTGATTATGGCGATCGACCTCTGACCGCTCGGTAACTTCCCATCGGCATGGGTTATAGCAATAGGTCTCTGACCGCTCGGCTAATCCCAATCGGTCTAGACTATAGTACTTGGCCTCGTACCGCTCGGTAACCGCTCCTCACGTTCGTTCGTTCATCGTCCCCTTCTATTTGTATGTCACCAAACGCTCAACGTAGGTTCCAAACCTTATCACCAAGGCTTCCTTCAAACCATCCCAAGAACGATTCTTGGCTTTCTCCTTCTAGGCTCTGAACTAGTAACCCACGCTGCCCTTCATGCTTATGTATGCGAGTCACACTTTCTCCTCCTCCGCTACTCCTTGAAACTCGAAAAACTTCTCCCCCTTGTTGATCCAGTTTAACGGGTTCTGCCCTTTGAAAGTGGGTAATTCACCCCTCTTCCACCATTTATTCTGCCCCTCTGGATGATCGACATCCACGCTCACTCCAATATCCTCATCGCACAGTAGATGGTTGTCATTTACGGAAATCTGACTTCCACCTGATTGTTCTTCGTTGTTGTAAGCCCGTGTCCCCCATCATCCTCATTATTTTTTGCAAGTCCCAATGCACTGTGACGGATTCCGCCTGTATCCCTTCCATCATAATCTCCAGAGCCTCCAATCGTCTCTTCGTGCTCCCCTCCATATGTGCTTCACACCCAATTCGGATCTTGTAGTTTCTTGATTACTTCTTGATCCTTCACCCCCCACTTCGAAACGTCAGGTTGGACCAATTTTTTAGGTTCCTGGGTTTGGAACCTAACAAGAACTCAATCAAATGATGGAGACAGAAAGAAAGAATGGGTTTCCTATATTATTCACAGTAAAAGAGACCTCTTTACAAGAATGAGTTGGGAGCATAACCTCCCTGGTTAAGGGCATAACCCCTCTCTACAAGCTAAAATGCCTGACTTTACACAAAGTATATTCGATACCCCCTACAGAGTTACAAGAGTTCTATTTATAGCAGCTCTGACCCGCTCCCCCCTTCCCCCTTTACAACCGACACCCCCATACCCTTAACTTCTAAACC